CCATACAATCTCTAACACAGACCATGCCATCTCTAACACAGCCCATACAATCTCTAACACAGCCCATACCATCTCTAACACAGCCCATACAATCTCTAACACAGCCCATACAATCTCTAACACAGCCCATACCACCTCTAACACAGCTCAAACCGTCTCTAACACAGCCCATACCGTCTCTTGCACTGCCCATACCATCTCTAACACAGCCCTCCCCCAGTGCAACAAAGGTAATCTCCCAATTCAACCAAATACACCCATCCAGAAACACCCAATTCAACCACCTATCCAACACACCGAATTCAACCAAATACACCTATCCAACACACCCATTTCAACCACCTATCCAACACACCCATTTCAACCACCTATCCAACACACACATGTCAACCAAATACACTCATTCAAAACACGCAGTTCAACCACCCATCCAACACCCCCAATTCAAACACCTATCTAACACACCCAATTCAACCAAACACACCCATGCAACAAACCCAATTCAATCACCCATCCAACATCCCCAATTCAACCACACATCCAACAACCTCAAATCAACCAAATGCACCCATCCAACACACCCAATTCAACCACCCATCCAACATCCCCAATTCAACCACACATCCAACATCCCCAAATCAACCAAATGCACCCATCCAACACACCCAATTCAACCACCTATCCAACACCCCCAATTCAACTAAATACACCCATCCAACACACCCAATTCAAACACCTATCCAACACAAAAAATTCAACCAAATACACACATCCAACACACCCAATTTAACCACCTATCCAACACACCCAATTCAACCAAATACACCCACCCAACACACCCATTTCAACCAAATACACCCATCCAACACACCAAATTCAACCAAATACTCCAATGCAACACACCCAATTTAAACAAATACACCCATCCAACGCACCCATCCAACACACCCATCCAACACACCCATCCAACATATCCAATTCAACATCCAAGAACACCATTATCCCCGGAAGCCACCAATACACCATGAATGATATCTCGAACATGGCCGGTGCAAACTTCCAGAATACCCCACCCAGCCTCCCGCCACCGGTTTCTAATTTGACGACCAGACACTTAAACCCGCTCTCTCCTGGCACGTGACCCAATCTCTAAGACCCAGTGTTCCAGGCCACCGCCGCCAAAATCACTTTCTTCGAGTTGATCATTGTTGCTGTTTCGATACTCCCAGAACACGCCCATACTCACATCTTCTTTTTTATAGTGTACACCGGTGGTACGGGCAAGGCAGACAGACTGTTACCAGAACGAGCTTGGGTTTTTTTGGTGGGTTTTTTTGTTGTTGTTTTTTGTTTTTTTGTTTTTAGTTTGTGTGTCTGTGGTAATTACGGACTGTCTGGTGGAAGCCGGATACGGAGTTAAGAGATAAATCTGAGACGGGACTGGGATTCGGAAAAAACACCGAGGCTGGATTGAGTCAAACGGATAGGGGTTGGTGGGGGGGGGTTGAAGACGTTCACACAAGTTCGCCTGCATGCATGTCGCCCTTTTAGGGATGGGGGTGTCGAAATTCACAAGTGCTGTGGCGCCCCCCCCCTCCCCATCCCAAAGGGTGGAATGTCAACGTTCACAAGTTCGGTGGCTTGCTCCCTGTCTCCTGAGCCGATTGTGTGATCGACACGTATTTTGTGAGTTCTAGCAGGCATCAGTCTATTTACCCGTTTGATACCAGTTCTCTAGCATCTATTCATATGTGACACGTCTATAAAGGGACTTTCAAGCCCTATTGTCAAATAGCCAATAAACAACTAATTCTTCAAGTTCAAATAAATACGCTAGTTGGCCTTTAGTTATGCAGGAAGCTCATACTGAGAATTTTGATTAAAAATAAAATAAAAAAAGAAACTACTGAAAAGATATATTTTGAACTGAAATTGCACCATCAAAAATAATCTGCACTCTTGGATTTAGGATAGAAGAGTACGGGGCCAGAATAACATTTTCTTCAGGATATTATCAATTATTTTAACACTTTATTAAGGGTATTATCAATTATTTTAACACCTTCTTCAGGACATGATCAATTATTATTAATTTTTTCTATTGAAGGGCACCTTTTTTTTTCAGTGCTGCTATTTGAAGGTATGTGATACCGTACAGTTTACTGTCAGACCGCTCCCCTGTCGTTACTTCTGATGAAACTGTTTGTCGCGTTGCATAAACAGTGCATGTAGCTAATTCTTTTGTTGACAGACTAATGCTAGAGGGACCAGGGGAAAAATCCACGGATTCACTGTTCGCCTGCGTATTGAAACGTTTGGAATCAATTTAATTTTGACACATGGTCTAACAAAAACTATTACTGCAATCGAAAATCGGAGAAACATAAACGAATTTATGATTCAGCTCATCACCTTTGTTGTGGCTTGTTGATAGTGTTGGTCAAACAGCGGTCTCCGGTTCGTACCGTTGTCTGGAAACGAGACCGCTCCACGCGATTGTGTTATATGAAGCCATCAATGGCTTTATGGCTTGCGAATAACAGCTTCGTCATTGCTGCAGGAACCGTGTCTTTTTGGATGGCGAATAACAGCTTCGTCATTGCTGCAGAAAAAAAGTTTCTTCTTGCAGGCAAACAACAGCTTTGTCACTGCTGTATGAACCTCATCTACATTTCTGGCGAATAACAGCTTTGTCCTTGTATAAATATGGCTGGCGAACAGTAGCTTTGTCATTGCTGTATAAACCATCCTTATATATATATATATTAAACTAAGGACTTAAATTTTACTTTTTATTTTACTATTTGTGTAATAATCCGTACGACGTCAACTTCGGGCCAGGCCTTCAACTCCAACTCCGCCCCGAGCTGTGTCCAGAAAACGTGATCTAACAAAGCCACAACGTCTGCCCCTCACGAGTCCCGTCTTAAAGTCGCGATCCGTCCGGGGGGAAGAAAAAAAAAGACTTAATCTCTCCACGGTAATCCGGACAGTGGTGTCTCTCTATGGAGATTATCATCCCAGAGTATAGAACACGGAGGAGGGTCAAGGCTATGGGATTAACAGATGTGGCAAGGCCGGGCGACATCTGTTGGGATATTGGAATATGGCAAGCGCAGTGTGTGTGTGTGTGTTGTATGTGTGTGTGTGTTTGTGTGTGTTCGGCGAGCAGGCGTGACGGCCAATCATCGCGGGGGAACAAAGACTTCACTTAAAACGACACGGCGCAATAGAGATACCATCTTTTCACTCTTACATGTCAGGGTGACCGTACCCTGGGCATTGCACGCATTACGAGACTTATTTCTTTTTTTTTAACTAGTGAATCAAGAAATCGATTTATCCAAGTACTTTTTTTTCCACAAAGGCGGATAAGAATTTGGCTACGGTTTCGGTGCATGTGAACTCTAAATGGAGATATGCATTTTTTTTTTCTTTAGAGAACATGAAATAATAAATTTCGAGCAATAGCAAACTGATTGAAGTTTCCCTGCAATAATCATAATACTTTATAGCAAAGACAACAGTAATGATTATTGCAAGTAGATTAATAAGACACAAACATGTTGTGGAAATAAAACAATGACAGGTTAAACTTTAATCATGGTTTAACAGAACACCAAATGGAAATGTCTCGGCTAAATCCTTTGACAACACAACAACAAAAATTCATTTAAGTATAAATTTAAATTATAGATACATATAAGTGTGAGTGTGTGTGTATCCTATCAGCGTTTTATTCGTTTTTCAATAGGAAATATCATTATCAATATCAATATCTATATCAATATCGCAGCAGTTGAACATGGTGTTTAAGTGGGTTTTTTTTTTCCCCTTCATTTTTTACCCTTCGTACCCTATAACATCCATCATCTGTTGCTTCAGTTAATGATTGTGTGTACATCCCGAGTAATCAGACGTGTACACAAGTTTTGTTTTGTTTACAAAACCTTAATGTGTAAATGCACTTATCTTACTTATCTTGCGGCTTTCAATAGTCCAAGACCATCCGAATGTTTGACTGTAAAAGTGTCTTGATGGCCAGCTATGAAGACTTTCGTTCACGGGCGCTCGACTTCTTCAGTGAGCGCAATGCATAAGGCTGTGTGTTAGAAAGTCTTAGAAAATAGGCAGTTTGGCTGCCTAGTGCTCTTTTTTTTTTCCAGGCCATAACTATTAAAATAATGTTTAAAATGTATTATTTCTTTCCTCAGATGAATTACCAGTCTTTAAAAAAATAACCAGGTGGTTACAACTTCTCAATCACACGTGAAACAACGAAACATTTGCATGATTGTCTGCGAATGCAAACTCCTCTGCTTTCGCGCGTTAACTCGAGACGTGTACTGTGATTGGTTCTGCTCTCCAGCCAACCAAAGGCAACGTTGCCTTTTTTTGTTTGTTAATGCTACAATTTTTATTGAGTAAAGGTACATCTCCATTAAATCGTCATTGAAATGTGTGTTCTGTTGATGCTATTACGTCATTGAAATGTGTGTTCTGTGGATGCACCCATGAGCGACTCATGGCTATCATGAAAGCCAGCATGCGATTTACTCCCCAGCTTTCAAAGTTTCCTTGTTTATTTTTCCAAGTCACTCAAAAAAAAAAAAAAATTCTATAGGATTGAGTGTTATTTAGTTTAAAAGGATTTTTTTTAATGTTTTAATATTTTAGATTTGTGTTATAGTTATTATTGATTTATCATTGTTTTTGGATCGTAGTCAGCTGGTGAAATGGAAGAAATTTTCTAATTGACCTCATTGGATTAAAATATTCATCAAATAATGTGGCCATTTCGTGGATCTAAGACGAGAAACATGGTCGGCCGTGCACTTGTTGGATTATGGATCATGGTGCAGTAACGTCAGCACCAACTCATGGCGTCTGGATTCATGACGTCATCGCGGGCAGCCATGGAGGAGCTGATGCAGGACACGCAGAGCTCGGACAACGACTCGGACTTCGGCCAGGAAGAACCGTCTCCCCTGCCGGACGCCTGCCATAGGTGTGGCAGCAGGGTGTACCCCGTGGAGAGGGTGGACGTGGGGGCGCTGTTTCACAGACGCTGCTTCCGGTGCCGGATATGCGGATTACAGGTGAGGCTTTTAATTGATATACGGATTACAGGTGAGGCTTTTAATTGATACGCGGTTCACAGACGAGGCTCTAATTGATATAATTTTCCGTGAACTTAGATTTTTTTTTTTTTAAATTTGAACGAAAAAAAAAATAACCCCCCCCAAAAAAAAAAACAAAGCAGAATAATAGAAAATACAGTCATCTTATTAACAGAAGAAAAGAAGATAAAATGAAATATGACGTGGCACGCAAATGGGGCGAATGGAAAAGTGTATATTAAATACAAGTATTATGATTAGGCCGCATGAATAAAGACTATTTTTGGCGCCGACGGAAGATGACAAAGTCTTACGCGAGGCCATTTGCGGAAGATACTTATTAAATCTCAGTATATGTTGTATAGCCTATCTATGACCCACATTATGGTAGTTCGCAAATCAAGTTCTCTTGCATAAGAATTCATTTCTTTTGATGAACTTTTGTTCACAACTGATTTTGATATAGTTATTAATTTAACATCATGTCTGCGTGTTTAGTGTATATCTCAGTTAACAGCCCGCTTTTTATTCGCAAACTTCTTCTAATTGAAGCTTAGTGACCCAAGATCGCATTTTATAGAAGTAAAGTGACCCTTGATCCCAAAACGTCAGCTTAGCACATGTTTCCGGTAAGAGAAAACATATCCAAGAATAATGCATTACTATGTATTTATTGAAATTTTAGAAAGGCAATGATTTTAAATCAAAATTATTTTAAATCAACATTGTTTGAACATCATTACTTTCAGTGTTTACTGTGTCCGCCGACCCCTATACGACCCCTATAGGACCCTTACACGACCCCATTTCAATGGGTTGGGAACTAGCTGGTCCTCTATTTTTAAAACTTCATGTTATAGAACATCACAATGTATCTAACACTTTTGATGACATCCCTAATGGATATAAACAATTATCCACAGTTGACACTGAGAAGTTTCCACTGGGACCAATCCAGCGCCCCGGATATTTACTGCCACGCGCATGTGCCGCGCCACGTAGGGTGCCTCGACAACGAGGCCGTAGGGATTAAATCTGCACTCAACGCCCCGAAAAGAGGTGTCTCCGCGTCCGACCAGGTAAGTACTTGACCCCCCCCCCAATTTTGCCCTTTTTAACCACCCCCCCCCCCCCCGCCCGAGTGAGTTATGCTGTAATTGAAAGGTCAATCAAAGGGTAGATAACTCGTATCGGTACCTGTTACCGTCCCTTTCCATTAGTCCAACGCCTCTACGCGACCCACCTTTCTGCTCCAATCTAAAGCAACGGTCTTCGCATCCTCCTCAAATCAAACGAATCGGGGGTTCTCAAGATTTTTTGGGGGGCTGTCATTTGTAGCAATGCTAAAGCAACCCCAAGATCCCGTTGCTGTCTTTAGATGACTTTTATTACAAGGAGTCGTGTTCATCACCATCTGCCAGTGACATGACGTCATTAAAAAGGCCTCTCATTTTTTTTTCTGTAGTAATTATTTCACATCTCCTGGTTGAAGTTGTTCTCCCGATATGATGTTCTCCCGATATGATGTTCTCCCGCTATGATGTTCTCCCGATATGACGTTCTCCCGATATGATGTTCTCCCGATATGATGTTCTCCCGATGTAATGTTCTCCCGCTATGATGTTCTCCCGATATGATGTTCCCCGACATCAAGCGTAACTGTGTGTTGTGTGATTGTGTTAAGATCCGATGGCATTAGTGCTTTGAGACTCACAGATCTAAATTATGTGTGAGCATGTCCTCTGCCCTTCACCCCATAATCAACCAACTCCCCATAATCCACCCACTCCTAATAATCCAACAACTCCCCATAATCCACCCACTCCCCATAATCCAAACATTCCCCATAATCCACTCACACTCCATGATCCACAAACTCCCCATATTCCACCAACTCCCAATAATCCACCAACTCCCCATAATCCACCCACTCTCTATAATCCACACACACACTCTCCATAATCCACTCACTCCCCATAATCCACTCACTCTCCATAATCCGCCAACTATCCATATTCCATCCACTCCCTGTATTCCACATACTTCCCATAATCCATCCACACTCCAAAATTCAACCACTCTCCATAATCCATTAACTCTCCATAATCCACCAACTCCCCATATTCCACTAACTCCCAATAATCCACTCACTCTCCATAATCCACCAACTCCCCATATTCCACCCACTACCCATATTCCACATACTCCCCATAATCCACTCACTCTCCATAATCCGCCCGCTATTCAAATTCCACCCACTCCCCATAATCCACCCACTCTCCCCATAATCCACCCACTCCTAATAATCCACCTACTTCACAAATCAGCAGTGGTTAAGTAGAATTGACGGTTTTACTGTCTGTGATGGAAATAATTTTTCTAAGTATTAAATAAAATGTTATTCAAAATTTGTCTTTACTCCTAAAACCTAACGACTGACACATTCAAAATCTGTCTATACTCATAAAAGCCATCGACTGACACATTCAAAATCTGTCTATACTCCTAAAAGCTAACTACTGACACATTTAAAATCTGTCTTTACTCCTAAAAGCCATCGACTGACACATTCAAAATATGTCTATACTTCTAAAAGCCAAAGACTGAAACATTCAAAATCTGTCTATACTCCTAAAAGCCATCGACTGACACATTCAAAATCTGTCTATACTCCTAAAAGCTAACTACTGACACATTTAAAATCTGTCTTTACTCCTAAAAGCCATCGACTGACACATTCAAAATCTGTCTATACTCCTAAAAGCTAACTACTGACACATTTAAAATCTGTCTTTACTCCTAAAAGCCATCGACTGACACATTCAAAATATGTCTATACTTCTAAAAGCCAAAGACTGAAACATTCAAAATCTGTCTATACTCCTAAAAGCCTACGACTGACACATTCGAAATCTGTCTATACTCCTAAAAGCCAAAGACTGACGCACATACATGCCTAGCAGAGCCGTTCTCTCACCCAGTCAATAAACTGACAACAAAAAGTTGGAGCATGCCGGGGTGGAGATGCATGGGGCGTGACGCCAGGGGTGGGGGGCAGTCCGGGTTGTGGTGGTGTGTGGGGAGCAGGGTAGGGGATAGAGGCTGGCAAATATCTCAACACCGGTGGTTGATATTGAGCCCCGACACGTTACACCCTTGGATCAATATTCGCATTGGCGGTATGGTCATATTATTTAAACAGAGATTGATCCCTCCCCCCTCCCCCCTGCATACACGTAATGTAATTATCACTTGAAGAGATGTAATTATCTTACTTTTTTCCCTTCACTTTCTTCTCTAGTTCTTCGTCAAGGCTCGCCTACATACATAGCTCTGTGTGGAGTATATTATTTTTTTTTTAAAGTTCAATTGTGCTACAAAATATGAGTTTGTTTTTGGAAGAATCTCTTATATAGATTTTGCTTCTGGTGTGTCCTGCTTCCTTTTGACAACCGGCCCTCCCCCTACTCAATATGTTTTATATTAATAGTGCTGAGTGTTTAAAAAAAAAAACATCACTCACGCGGCGAGTGCCGTCATGCGTGACTGTTGAACTCGGGTAAAAAGGTTGAATTTTTTTTCGGAGGCGAATATCATATTTATCTCATAAAGAGCCACGGGGATAGTGTAGGACTGTCGGTGCAGAGGCGTAGCAAAGGGGGAGGGGGCAGGGGGGACAGATGTCCTCGGGCGCCAGCTGATTAGGGGCGTAAAATTAGCTTTGATATTTTTTTACTGATGAAAATAATGGGTTGGAGAGTTGAAAAGGAGGCGCTTTAAAATGAATCTTGTCCCCCGGGCGCGAATCTAGTCCCCGGGCGCCAAACCCTCTAGCTAAGCCTCTGTGGCTGTGTGACTTTCTGTTGGACTGTCTGTGGGACTATTGTTTGAAGGCTGGAAGATAGAGTGTAGGACTCTCTATTTATAGAAAATGAGAAGCTAACTCTTTTCCTGTAACACTGGGATTCACCGGGTATTTTCTCAATATACCCTGAACCGGTGTGACAGACAAAGCTACACCCTTTTAGGTGCAAGTTTCTGATTCTGGTAGACTACGTTGCTGCAACCAAGTACTGGCATATGTGCGACGGTTCCGGAAACGATGCTGCTATCCTAACGGCCCCTAGCGGTTGCCAGGGCAGCCTTGAAACTCTCGATTGATGTCGGGTCCACGGTGGCATTGTCCAGGGTGGTTCCAAGCGATTATTGTTCGTGGGAAGAATCATTGTTTATATTGGACTGTGTTACACCGAGGGACAGTGAAGCCATCACTATTGTTCAAGATGTAACTGCTCATGGAGTTGTCAGAGGTGAAGTCAGTGTTTAATCTGAATATTGGTTTAATGGTATCATTTGACAAAACCTGTCTCAGAAGATCATCTTTGACGTAGCAGGTCGATCGCTATGTGGCTTTTCCGAGCAATGAGACTCTTCCCACAATGGTTCTCTTCGCGTAAGCCAGATGTGCCTTATTTTCATTGGGTGAACGTGCATTGATCACACATGTTACTAAGCCTTATCACATTCGAAGACGCACATAATATGCAACAGCTAGATCAATACTAAAATCGTCCATTAAGTAGTTAAATGCTCAGTGAATCTGCTATAAATCCAAAATACCGTGATCACTTTTTAAATTGTTCAGTGATGTCTATCCTATGTAATTAGTTCCGGTGTCATACTAAATTAATAGTCGCTATTTATTTTAGTTATGTTTTTATTCTCAACAATATTACGACGTCTCGGGAGTTTCCAGGCACAACTAGCTAATCTCCCGGCACTTCTAGCTAATCTCCCGGCACTTCTAGCTAATCTCCCGGCACTTCTAGCTAATCTTCCGGCACATCTAGCTAATCTCCAGGCACAACTAGCTAATCTCCCGGCACATCTATGCTAAACTCCTGGCACTTCTAGATAATATCCCGGCACATCTAGCTAATCCCCCCGGCACAACTAGCTAATCTCCAAACACATCTAGCTAATCTCCAGGCACATCTATGCTAAACTCCCCGGACTTCTAGCTCATCTTCCGGCACATCTAGCTAATCTCCAGGCACAACTAGCTAATCTCCCGGCACATCTATGCTAAACTCCCGGCACTTCTAGCTAATCTTCCGGCACATCTATGCTAATCTCCAGGCACAACTAGCTAATCGTCCGGCACATCTAGCTAATCTCCTGGACTCCTGGCACACCAAGCTAATCTCCCGGCACACTGTTGTTCCACGGCACACCTTTTCAGAATAACTGGTATAAAAGACATGAATGTCACAGTTTTCATACTTTTAGCCTTTATGACCAGTGTTTCTTGTTTATATCGCCCCGATCTATTCACCCCGACCTCAAACCAAATACATTTTCAAAAAAATTGTTTCAATGCAATAGAAAAAAAAAGAAAAAAAAAAACGAGAAACAAACAAAACCGTGAACACACAAACTCTTACAGAACTCAATCAGATCGATAATATGGAGAATAAACTCTCCTACTTACGTGATGTCATAAATATGTTCTTTCGTATGTACCTTAATTTAAGAGGGACTGCGCTGAGGGTGTGTTAAGTTTATAAATAGTAGGAAGAGATATGAAGATAAGTGACAAGACATACTGTTTTAAATTATATTTAGTTGTTTCTTGTCTTGTTGTCTGAAAAGGGCATTTAGCCGAAAAGTTGTTGTAATTGTCTTGTCATCTGAAAGGGGCATTTAGCCGAAAAGTTCTTATAACTGTCTTTTTTTTTTCGTAAAAGCTTGAATGGTTTTTAACAGTTAAAATCAAACTCCACCTCCCCCCCTACCCCACACACCATCTCAGCCCAAATCCTTCCAATGACTTCACCCCCTCCCCCCCATCTCCTTTACCCTGATCTCGCTCCTCGAACTCGCCTAGTTTGCAAAGACCGGTGCTGAGTTACACTCGATGGATCCACCCAGAAAAACAAAACTGACCAATACACCCCACCCCCCCACCCCCACCCCCCCAAATACCCCAACAAGGACATGTCCGAACGGGGTAAAGCACGAGAGACCTCGAAATACACGTCAACAACAATTGCATTCCATGATGGCATCCGTTTGAAAAGCACGCTACACG